ATTTGCCAATAAAATTTTTGTATTTATTATTGAATATCACGTGAGTTTTGCTCGTATATATAATCAAACTAAATTTGTATTAGTTTGTATTATTAATTTGTATACAAATTTTTACGGGTCTCTGTTCGAGCTACACTAGTAGTCTATATGCAGCTATATACTGTATCTATATATATATATATATATGGTTTTTTTTAGCATCGTAATATTGTAAATTATGAATTTGCAAATTATGTAATTTGATCTACAATTCGCGAATCCTGCCTATGTTGTATACTTGGAAACTAATTTAATTCGACCTTAATGTATTAATTAAAAATAACACTTTATATATATAGTAAGGGATAATTTACTCTATAACCACTAAAGCCAACACCCTAAACCCCTATCTGAAATTAATTAATAAAAAAATATTAATTACTAATATTAGTTACTTTAAATAATTAGTGGATAGACGAAATTGGTTAATGGATAAGGATAACGAGTGAAAACGGATATGGATATGGGATAAAATGTATATGGATTACAGATAAGCACATGAGATATCCGGATGATCTAAACGAATGAATATCTGGATTATCCTGATCCAAAAGCACTAAAAATAACGATAATTACATTTTTTTTTTTATATAGTAGCGTTGGCGAATCAGAAGTAACCCGAATTTTATTCGTGTACCAAAATCTTTATGCAATATATTTAATTAAATGTAGTATTTTACGTAACACAATTCATTACTGCAATATTACACTCACATACGTGTTTATGTACGGATGTACGTAAAGAGTAAACGTGCGTGCATTAATTAATTTGTTATTACAACTTAATTTAAATTTAAATATGAAAAGCATTTAAAGACCCATCTGAGTAAATCCAAGTATTTTTTTTTATAATGTTATCAAAATTTTTTAAAAATTCAATTTAATTCAAAAATTCCAATAAAATACACAGAATTCAATCATTTAAATATAATAATTCATTAATTCAAATAGAAACATAAAAGATGCATAAATTTATTATTTATTTAATATACATTTCATTTTTAATATCTTTTATACATGGTCTAGATAATGATGTAAAAGTAGATTATAACCTTTATAATAATAAGTTAATAAAACGAGTACCTCAAGCAGTTCCATCTCAACCTAATAATGCACCAGTACAAACTCAACCCAATACACCAGCTCAAGCTACGGCACCAGCTCAAGCTGCAACACCGGCACTACCTCAACCATCATCCCCAGCTACAGCACTATCAGCTTTAAATACAAGTTCGGTTGCTTCAGGTACTTCAAGTCCAACTATCATAGCACCAGTTTCAACTACCGCGCTTCAGATACAAACCCCAGTTCCACCACCACTTCAACCTACAAATAAACCTCAATCAACCTCTCAAAATCCACCAGCACAGCCTTATGTACCTGCTGTGCCTTCACCGCAAATACCAACTCAGTTACCTTATGGTGCTGGAGCAGAAAAATTGCGATCAGAAAGAGGGAATGTAGGAATGGTTGCTCTTGGGATAACAATATTCTTGGTTGTAATATGGTGAATTCTTTAATATGTTGGAAACAATAAAATTTTTATATAAGACATCCCGTTTAATACATGTAATTTTGAATAGATATTCTTTCGTAATACTAATTGTCTAATATTTTTTAACCAAACTTTACCGAGAAAAAAATATTATATTGCTAGCCTTTTCTAAATTACGTATGTTGTTTTGTATGGTGTAATATAGGAAGTGTCAATTATCGTTCTCTGATATCTTTAGAATCCGCTTGTAATACATAACATGTCAAAATTGAACGACATTACGTTGTTTCGAAACCATGGTTAATTATTTGTGCAACATTAATAAAATTTTTAAGAGTAACGTAATTGCTAGGATGGGTATATAAAATCCATTTGAATAATGTGTATAACACACATTTTACAAAAAAAAAAAAAAAAAAATGATACCGATAAATATTGTATACAGTATTCTGTACGTGGAAATATGATACACATAAGTAGGGTTGGATCGATCCTGAAAAGAATAAGGGCTAGTCTCCTCATGGTTATCGGGTCCCAGTCTTTGTAATAGTTAAAAATAATAGCCAATTAAAATTATTAGAACTCTCTTCACTAGCCAATAAGATAAAGTTTGAGATCGACAAATTACCAGCGTTTAATACGTTAAAACTTGTCCAGCAGTATTAAAGATTTAATGTTCCCAATATTCCCGGGAACATTTAAAAAAATTTAAGAACAAAAGTGGGAAATATATTTATTATTTTTATTATAGGGACATTAAAAATTTTTTGGGAACATAAATTTAATAACTTATGTTCCCGAAGAACAAAAAAAAAAATTTCAATCTTTTTCACTGGCCTGCTCCATGGTAAAATTGGCAAACTGCGCCCAAAAAACGGATCATTGGCTTGGATGATGCATGAGGTTTATCGGCCAACTTAGGGATCACCAAGACATGAGCCTATTCCGGGCTCATTCGGGTCAATTTGAACCCAGTCTGAACCTATTCCGGGTTCAATAAATCTAACTTTGGTTTATTCTGAACCCAATCCAGGTTCATTTTGAACCTATTTTGGGGTTCAGGTAGATCCAACCCGGGTTCAAATAAATCCATTTTAATATAAAAATTTTGCAATTTAATTGGTCCATTAATAATAGCTAGTCATATGATATTTTCAAATCTGATAACCTTTCAAAATTGGTACAAAACTATGCATACCGGTTTTGATAGGGTATACTAAATAACAGAAACCCTCGGATAAAAGCAGTCCTTTCGATTTTGGATTCAAAAATTTCGTTTAATAATAAATTAGAACGAACGAACAGAACGAATATAATTAATCTCCTCATTAGTCCGAAAAAAAAACACTTTTTTTACAATATTTTGATTGCTTTTACCGGTGACAATACGGAAGTGACAGAACATAGAAGGCTTAGTTTAATCACGGATGATTAAGTCTCTCTTCTCCATATTGGTCCATTGAAGTTATTAAAAGGACTTTGGTGTAATTGGTTGTGACACTTATGTGTGAGGTAGGACACGTAAGGATGTTAAGATGAATCCAGTGTTTGAAAGAATCACCATAGCCAAGCCACTAGCGAAAAGCCTAAAGAGAAAAAAGTATAATTTGTTAACTGTAAGTATGCACTAGCGATTTTTGATGTTTCATAAATAAAGAATATTGATCACCTGCATTACGGAAAAAATGTAGAACCAATGGCATGTAAAATGAATAATATAGTTTGTCATT